GCATATACAAGGAAAAGATACTCCAATTGTGTATTGTAGCTATATGGTCTTAACATAGCAGTTCTAATTCTCTTCTATGCTTTCTACTATTCCCGTGTTAGTGGAAGGAGCTAGCAGTTCTATTTTAATGTGCTCTTTTAATGTGAGTTATTTGTCCTCTCAATTATTTTTCTTTTGCTCCTCTGTTCTCCTTGCACTGGATATGATACGAAGCTGTAAATTGGTATAAAAGTCCTTTGCAGCTGAGGAATGGAAGAAAACATTAAAAAGCCAAAACCTCACAATGACAATACCATAACTATCCCCTTAGAAGTTTCTAGTATTTCTAGTAACACACACTTTTATAAACTTATGATCTACTTCTGCCAGAAGACTTAGTGTTGTATTTATCATCCAATCTGTTTATCATCAGTACTGGGTATCTTTATATCTTGGAAACTTTATCCTCGAAAAAAAAACAACCCACAAACAACTAAAAATTCTAACTGAAATGTCACCCACCCTGCCTGCTACTTTTAAGCCCAATGTGAAATTCTGTTCTTCACGGCTTGTGTAAGTCATTGTACTTGCTGTTTCCTTCCTCTGCCCTGCATAAATGGTTCCACCTGTAGTGACCAGAGGTGTGGGGGTGATGCATGCCTGTGTCTCATTCTGACGTAGAGCTTGAAACAAATTTGAATCCAAAGGTGGGCACGCTCTCAGACCTCACATTTGAAACGTAAGAAAGTCTACATAGTGTCTTATAAAATGGATCTATTAGTGTTTGTTTAAGAAGGCGCTTTCTAGAACATCAGCTACTTATCTGTGATTATCTAGCCTTGCAAACAGTAAGTTAGGTCAAATATATCATTAAGTTATTTGAAATGTACTTACTGCGTGAATGTATTTCAAATCCTGGGAGAATCCCCTAGCTTCTTAATGAAAATCCTGCCTGCCATCTGTGTCCTCTGAAATGTGAAGGATTGACTCTCCCATTTCCTAGAACGCTCACTGGTGCCAGGGTTCAGCATGTAGGCTTCTAGAGCAACAGTAATATCTGTCATTTTGAATGAATATAAATCTCTAACAATCTATGTTTGTACAGTCCCAGTGGAAACATGTGGTGTCAGCTGTGCTCACAGTACTTTAAAGGCTTTATTAAGTCATCTGGCAACACACCTTGTCTCCAGGCACTGAATTTTATGGCAAAGAAACTAAGAGACTCAACCCTTTTTTCTTAACCCCCCCCCCCCCCCTTCTTTTTTTTCCCAATCTTTCACATATCACTAGCTCTCAAAACCACAGGAAGTGATTTTATAAAAGGCTTATGGGTGTGCTGCTATGTTGTTAATACCCACTATTTTTTACAGGTGAGCATTTATACCCGTCTATAGTCTTACACATATATACACACACACACTGCCAGGTACCTTTATGCAGTCTGATGTAACCTCCATTCAAATTATTACCATTGAGTAAAACTGCACAGAACTTATAAATAATTATAAGCCAGCTTTCTTAGTTCATGCAGCCATTTGAAAGGAGGCTATGAAAAACGGCATGAAGGTTCTGAAGTGTATATCACAGCAAAAATCCACAGATACTTTGTCCAGTGGCTTTTAAGGACTGTACTTGCTATTTGCTTTAATGTAGACAAAATTGTTTAATTGCTAAATGTTAAAATATTAGTTTGTTTAAGTCATGTTTTGAGAATCCGTTGTTCAAAGACTGAACTTCTCAGTGACATTCAGAATCTTTTCTCTTGCAGCCATTTCGTAGAGTGACGTTTTCTGTTGTGAGTCAGCCTCAGGACCCACATCAAGGGTCATTGCAGAGTTGCTATGACAGCGGTCTGGAGGAGTCAGAAACACCAAGCAGTAAGAGTTCATCAGGGCCAAGACTGGGTGCCCTTCCACTCCCAGAGGACAACTACGAAAGGACTACGCCGGATGGCAGTGTTGGTGAGGCAGAGCATATGGAAAATGGTAGGGGCAAACATGACATTCACACACATAAACTCACTAGCAAGTGATACTAAGTAGACTTTTGAAAGGTCAGTCAAAAAAATAAATAAAATATAATAAATAGTTGAAATGGTAATTATTTTATTTTAAAGCTTGCTAAAATGCAGATATACAAAATAATGGAACATAACTAATAAAGCCAGCATTTCATTTACTTTACATTATTAAATGCTATACTGCAGAAGCAGAAACATTTAAAACATTCAAAAAAATGCCAGTAGAGGGCTGGGGAGATGGTAATTGAATTAAATTCCATGCTTTTCTTTTTAGATAAAAGACCATAAAAAACATGGATTCTCTTTTCCTTCCATTTTTGATTCAACAACTACTTAGGAAATTTCCCAGAATGTAGTATGTACAGAATCAACAAAAGAAAGTAGGATTAAAAAACCCTGCTCTAGGAAATGCCCTTTTCCCTAAAAGTGTTTTAGACTGTTTCCAAAGTAACACTGTGTGTCAAGTCCATTCTTCATTATTTAGAAAATAACATTACTTTCCTTTTCTTCACACTTTATTTTCTACAGTACTTTTAGAACATTCATTTAAATTCAGTCTATTTATGTAGAAAGGAGAAATGCTGAATCCTTATTTATTATATAGTGATTTCTCAGCTATTAAAAAATAAAGGTAATTTAAATTTCAGGCTTTGCATTATTTTCTATCTAAAAATATTTAGAATTAAAAAGAAACAAGTTTGAAATTTGAAATGTATTTCAGAAAACCTGATTTTTAAAATGTTTTTATGGAGTCAGACACTGACTTCATTGTCTTTTCACTTACCCATAAGCAAGAAAACAAATTATTGTATGTCAAAGTGTACAGATTTTTAATAAACAATGAAATAATGGATATGCTAATCCAGTTGGAATTGGTGGGTATATGCAAGAAGGGTGGTGTATTTTCTGTTATGGAATGAATGATTTGGTTTGGTTAAGTGCATGCTTTATTTTTTTGGGTTACAGCACTGGATAATTATTCTTGGCTTTTTGTCTTTCCTGAGATAAACACGTTGACCCAATAAAGCATATTATTCTCCATGGTAAGATATTGTCAGATCTAGTATGTATGACTGAAGAATGGCTACACCAGTCTACATATGCTTAAAATGCATATCCTTATTCGGTCATTAAAATGCAAATGACCGAATAACAAAAAAAGAAGATGGTATTTCCATAAAAAAGTAGATATATTCGGTTACGTATATATGTCTATATAATCTCATTTATGTATTCTCCTCATTTGTTTATATGAATATATCTCTTTACATTTTGTTTTTCTGGGTGTGTGGTAGGGGAGAAAGTGATACTGGTATTACTAGAAAAATGTCAGAAAAAAGTTTGTAGACTTTGTACCTAAATTGTGATGATTATTTTATTGTGAGCTTTGTAGTGAGATTTCACGGTTAAGATAATCAAACTAAACAGTTTGTTAATTCCTCTGGGTATATAGCAGTGTAATAGTGGCTTGCTAGATATCAAATTCTGAGTTCAGAAAGTATGAAAGATGGAATATGGTTAAACAAAAATGAGAAAACTGGAGAGCCACAATTCAATATAATTTTAACATATTTGACAGCCAGTGAAAATCATCACACTTGATGAAGTGTAATTGAAAATGAAGAGTGTGAGTGATGTAAGAAATTACAGCAAACCAGTTTTTAAGTTTTTGTGTTTGTACAAAAAATGGCATTGCATTCTAGTAATTAAATTATTTTAGACATTAGTTTGATTTTTTGGAAATAACATTTTATTTTTGGTAGGCTGAATTTGTTGGTTTCAGTTTTTTTAAAGGTATTGTATAGATAGAATAGAGAGAAACATAAAGGTAGATAAATATATTATGCCATGGATAAGTCAATGAAAACAAAATAACCATGAAAAAAAAAAGCAAAGCAATGTCTGCATATACTGGTTGGGAATTCCTTCTTTTTTATAAAACCTTGAATGCAGACCTTGGAAAGATGGGTGACATTGTGAAGAAAATTATACTCTACGGACTTTTGGATTTTGCTGTCACATTTTAAAAATAAGATTTCAACAGTGGCATGTCACCTGCCTCCAGAGGTTGTTGTTAACATTATATATAATGACAGAACAGGATGGAATGTGCTTTTCTTCCTTCATATATGTAATATCTGATATTTTAGTGAGAGTCTTCTGCAATCTGATTCTAAGGCCACTTGTATTTTTACTATTTTAAGCACAATTGTACGGTTCAAATTCTGATAATGTAATCTTCAGTATTAATGGATCATTCTGACAGAAACAGAATTGAAATTGAAATCTGTCAAGTGTTCATTTGTCACTTTTAATTGGAATCTAGGTTATCTTCAGAGTCTATGTTGGTTAGATTTTAATAAAAATTTATACTGGATTTTCATGCAGATTTTCCATGGAAACAGCACTTTGGAAGCTGTCTTACTAATGAATTGTTATTACTTCAAATATTTACCATTTAATTTCAGTTGATGTGAAACAATGCAGTTAGATCTAATTGCTATATAACTAATAGAAGTGATTATTTTCAGCATGGTATGCTAAATCCTCTGATACATTTAGTACTTTTTTTGAAAGCTAGGATGACTAAGGAAGCCAAGTAATTTTTATAGTTAAGGCAAACATAAGAAGGTTGAGCTTACAGTCTGAGTAAAAAGGAAATTCAGATTTCTGTTTGCTGGTAAGAGGCCTCATTTCTGTTTTTTCAGGAAAGGATAAAATGCTGGAAAGAAAAATAAGCATAAAGGGGCTGGTTTTCTTAGAATATGCTGTACATTACCTACCAGCCTACATGGCTGTCAGATGTAGATTGAAGTTTTGCTCTGATGATTAGCTGTGTTGTCAGCTGCAGGAGGGGAAAGAAAAAGGGGGGGAAGAAAAAAAGAGAAATGTTAGCAGATTGACTGTGAAGATTCAGTATGCAAAGATCTTGTTAATTAGTAAAATCTGCAGAACCAGAAGTAACTTCTGAGTGAATTTATCCCCTGGCCTTGGAGCTTTCTGTACAAGGAAATTCTGCTCACATGTGCAGCCTTCTTTTCTAGTTTTGTTATTAGGATGGTACTGTCTTAATATAAATTGCACAAGAATATTCTTGAGAAAATTCATTTGTATTACATTCGTATTTGTATATCAAGGATAAAGATATTACCATGTTAAATGATTTTCTTGGTTTTTAGTCATAGCCTCCTGTATCTGACCATGCCTAATACCACAACTCATGGGAGTTAAAAAAAAAAAAAGTCAGATACTTCCAGAATTACCTTGTGATTCTAATAGTTAATAGTTAGCATGTGCTTTAAATTGTGATTTTTCTAACTAACAGTAATACTAATAATGATAATTAACCTAATTTATTACAAGCCATTAAGCCTCTTCAAGTTACTGGCCTGAATGGTATCTTTCAACAGGAAATGTATTGGAACTCTTATCAAAATGGTTTTATTTTTATTTGCATTTTTTTTCTTATATAACAGTTTTAGTGACTGTTCCTTTTTATCATTATGATAAAGAAAACGGAAGTGTTCTATATTGCTTTTTAAATATTGTGAATTATTACATTATAATTTATCTTCCCTGTGAATTACATATATTCCCTGGTTTTTGAATCTGTAATCATCATATACCTGTTACTTTTTTCTTTCCATGAAGTTCTGTTTCTTCTGATGCAGGTAGGGATAGCTGGACTGGTATTCTCATCATTTGAGGAATACGGCCTTTTCATATTAATGTCTGTGTTCGTAATTACAGATATGATCTCTAAGCAGAGTTTCTTGCAGCCTGCTTAGAAATATTTCATTATATTATTTTGTTCCCCCCAGATTTCTGTATACTTATTATTTATTCATACATGTAATGGCCTACTCAGTGTTATTTTTTGTTTAATTTAGCTAGAGTACTTACAGCAGTGAAACTGCAACACTGTAGAGTTTAACTCACATGTTCTACCCTGGAGATTTGTTTCCATGCGTTCATAATTAGATTGCTACACCTGAGATACCTGTGTTAAAATTAGCTCAGGTATTTCCACATGAATGTATCTTTGGTCTGCAGGACAGTATTTTAAGTTAGCTCATGTTGCAGTATCGAATGTGTAAGGGCTGGAGAACAGCAGTTACCTCCATGAAAAAAGGAAAATAAGAGAATGGTTTACAGCTTCCATTTTTACAGGAGGAAATGGAGTAAAGAAAGATTGTGACATGTCTGTAGTCACAGAAGAATGAAGTAAGGGGCACAGCTTGGAAAGGAGCTCAGAATTTTTGTGATTCAGTTATTTGACTCCCTCAAAGAAATCATTAGATAAATTACACTGTGGCTGAGATGAAGGGAAGGAAGAGGGATGCATTCCTCTTTCTTCATGTAGTCTGATAATATACTACATTCACAATGGCAATTTCAGATTTAGACCATAAGTGTCAAAGTTCCACCATCAGTGCGGAGAATGGGATCATGGCATGTGAAATAATGAATTGAAAATGTGCAAGGAATTTTGACAATTAATATATGTAATTAATTTTATCTGTAAGGGCATTCTCTCACTTCAGCTTGTAAGATAGAATATTAATTTGTTCTCTGGACCAAAATGTTAATTAGATTTTAAAAAAGAATCCATTAGTTTGCAGAATCCATGTTTACAGAATCCTTTTCCCTTTAGCTTATTGCAGTGTAAATAACACAGGTTAATGTTCTTGAAGACTTAAATATCCTTGTTGTGAACATTGCAAACCAGACATTCATTGACTTATTCCATAGAATTACTGTAGTTTTTCAGTTCCCATTATTTTCAGATGTTCTGTTCTCTTGAAGTCAGGTCCTAAAATTGCACGTGAATAATTTTATTTTCAAAACTGTGTCCTGAAAATGTTAATATTAGTCCATCTGAGACTTTGAGTAAGTAAAGGTCTTCAGTGTAGTGATGGCATGCTGAAAGTATGTTTTTTGGTTGGTTTCTTCTTTCAGTGCTGC